TGTCACGAGTACAGAAATTAATTTAATGTCACCTGAAGACATGCAATTAATCTTTTAGAGGTTTTCATAATACCTTTACAGAAAGAGTTGCCAGTTTGGCGGATTTGGATTTTGGGGTTTAGCACAAGATAAGGAAAATTAATTTTTCATCAGGGTTAATACAAGCTAGCAGGGCCACAAAGGCAGAGAAAAATGGTTTGGGAATTTGTCAAGTGTTGTCACTCTAGAATAATGCTGCTTAACGTCTGATAGGTGTAATCAAGAGTTGAGATTTCTATAGAGGGGGATTAATCAATTTGCGCACTACAGAATGCGGGTTGGTGATACCATTCCTTCATGGGGTTTAAGAATGAAAATAAGATTTGATCTGTCAAATCGCAGGAAGCTCTGACAGTATCAATAGGCATTTTTATCAGTACATTTTAAAGCATTTGTTATAAATAAATTTGTCCTGCTAATGTTGGTGGCAAATAAACTTCATAACAAAACTATCGTCATCGTGATTATGATAGAGTGCAAAGCTTCAGCTCACTAAATTCAGGCAGTATCATACAATTCTGGTCTTAGAATTTGTGATCTCATTTTTGACAGAAAGCTCTTTATGTTTCTGAATGCACAACGCTGACAAGCGAGAGGATGTCAATATTGGCAAACAGCCTTGATTAGTATCAGGGCATGGCTTCTAAAACTCATGGCCTTAGTAGTCACATCATTTCTCTTTTTTGTTAGTCTCCAGTTCCAGATTAAGGAGGTGCAGATTCCTTCACAGTCAAGTTTGAAAAATACTTATTATGTAGATCAGATTTTTTTGTCTTGATCTTTTGAGTTTTGCTTAATTATACACAGTAGGGAATAAGAAAAACATTTTTCCTTCATCGGCTTGCAGACAGAAAATGAAATTCACTTATCTGTAGAGGACTTAAGAGGAAGTTTGCGTTATAAAATTGAAGATAGTCATCAGTCTCAGGTCCTACCATAGGACTGGGGTGAACTGGGAAGTGTTCTACCTGGCTTCAGCACTTTCAAGTTGTAGGAGGCAGGCTATGATGATGGCTAGATGCATCTCTGAAAGATCTAGAGTTGTCCAGTGTATCCCAAAAAAGCTCTTGGGGGGGAAAAAAAAAAGATAAAAATGTACTTCGACGAGACCTAAAGCATCTCATTCTATTCCTACATGTTTAAATGTGGGGGGAAAGGTGATGTAAGCTAATGAAAAAATAGCATTAAGAAATTAAGTCCTGAAGAAAAAGTTGATTTCAGATGTGTTGGAACTGAGATATTTTATGCAGAGATGTTAGCAATTCGGCTTCTATGATTCCGATGTCATTTTGGGTAGCTTCTGCAGTACCATCTTGCTTCACTTACCTGTAGCTTTACTGTATGTTTTATCTGCTTATTTCTGCCTCCCTAGTGAAAGTCTGGAGCCAGCACAGGAGCAGTCCTGTTTGCAGTTATGCCAATCTACCAGTGTTAATATTCTCATACGAACGTGTGGCTCTAAGTAATGTTCAGAGGATTTGTGGCTTTAAGACCAGGTGATAAAGCTCTTTATGGGTGCTTTGCTTAAGACTTACTTCTTCATTTGCATTCCCGAAGAAGCCAGCAGTTATCTCCCTTATAAGTTTAAAGGATGATAATGGTGGCAATTAGAATGGTGGCAAATTAAAAGTGCCATCTTTTAATTTAATACTGTGTAGATTTTACTCATTTTGGTTTTGACACTGCGTGACATCTTTAGCAGCAGTTCTTTTTTTAGCTGGTTAAGATTTGTTACCTGAGACTTTGTTGTTTCACTTGTTGAACACACACTGACCTAGGAGCCATGTTTTTGGTTTTTGTTTGCCTTGTTTTGTTTTTAATTTAAGACAGACGCCAAATTTTGTCTTCAGTTACAGCCAGGAGAGCTGTGCATGAAACAGCGTATTGCTGTCAGGGAGCTCAAGCCAGCTCAAGGAGCAGTGTTTTTAGAGCAAGGTTATAAAGCCAGGTTTTGATTCAGCTGTCCATTTTTTCCTTTCTTGTTTGCAGGAGCCAGTAGGCTTTGCTCCTTCCCCATTTCTTACCCTGTGGATTTCCTTTATTGTTTTTTACAGGTTTTCATGCTTCTGAGATGTATTAACTTACGAAAAGTCCAGAGATGCTTCCACCTTCCAGATTGGCATCTGAGAGAATTTTGCAGGCGCGTTGTGTTAACACTTGAAACCCACAGACTGGGTTTCAGCCCAGGGTTGGGTCCTGACCTATGAGAAACCCCAGCAGGAAGCATGTCCCACCATATTCCTCATGAATACGAACCCATATTGTGTGTTTATGTGTTTGTTTTGTGTGATTGTGTGTTTCCTGCTGTATTTTGAACAGTTTTATTTGGTGATAATTGAGCTTTCCAGTTAAATATTGGATGGTTGTTGGCCGTCCTAGCCTTTATGGGAAATGATTGCTTGCTTTTGAAGTCTCCATAATGAGCATGTATGATGTGTTTTGTACCTGAGGGCTTCACTTGTACGCTGTTCATATGTGCAGGAATCGTTTTTGGGTTTGGAGAGACACAGTTGCAAGTATTTATGGTTGTTTTGCACAGCAGGCATTTAGCATAGATTAGCTTTGAACTTCCAATTCTTAGGATTAAATTCCTGCTAGAATTTTTGGTTCTTTTTAGTTTTGTAATCTTCCAGCTGCTGTAAGGTTGGATAAAGGAAATTATCTGACCAGAGCATAAGGCTTATGCTGCTATTTAAATCCTCTTCATTTCAGTGTTATTTCAATACTGGTTTCTTGTACAGGTTTTTGTTTGTGTGCTTATGTTTTCAGGAGAGGAGAAGGGCTGTTGCTTGTTTTTGTTTCTTTTTTGAGCTGTAGTCAAAGACAGACTTTGAAGGAAAAGCTTTATTATTTCCTTCTAGTGACTGATCTCAAAGGTTTATGTACAGAATTTTATGTGAAGCCACGTTTAACGTGGAGCCATTCATTTCAGCAGAGGGAAAGTGAATGTGATGAGAAGTAGAGAAAAGATGCCACTTTCTATTGTTTTCTCACTGTGGATACTGTGGAAGAAAGCCCTTAAGTAGGAAGAGCTTCAGGACTCCCTGTGCCAGATGGTGTTTTTGAAGTGTAGATGGTATGAGGCAGTGATGAAACCAATTTGGTGGGGGTTTGACTTGTGTGGGATTTAAGTTCTTGAGAAGTTGTTGCCTGCATATGCCTGATGATACAGAGTATGTATGTGGTTTAGGGATTTGAGTTGCATGCCAGTGAACTTGAGAACGTGAGGATATCCCAGATAACACCTTACTGGGCTACTTCTCTTCAGTGGCTGTGGGGAGATGTAGTAACAAGCAGCCCTCAGTAGGCGTTCCTGTGGTGTAATGCTGGTAGAGGTGTTGTGATTTATATTTCCACTCAAGATAAGATTTATATTTCCACATGGACCATAAACGTGCTCCCTCTGCAGCCTTGTATTTTGTCTCCTTATCTGCAGAAAACGGTGTCGGATCGTTTGACGCCCTCTGGTTAGCGACACAGAGTACAGATGCAGAAAGACTTTCGACTCATCAGTATTTAAGGGAAGGGAAAGAAATTATGTAAACAAAGATGCTTCAATAATTGTTTTTTATTCTTCAGACATGCCTTCCATTAGAGAGCTTTTGAAGGTTAACCTGGGGTTTTTCATGGGCTTAGGTATAGGCCGTGCTTATTTGGCTTGACTCTTGGTGTTACAGTGGTGTGTGATTGTGGGTTAATGAATTTCCATTGCCTGGCTCCCTTGGTGGCTCGGGTGCATCCCAGGGCTGTAAGTGCTGTGGGCCTTCCAGCTGTTATAGCAGCTTGGATCAATGGCGAGTGTGCTCCCAGTTAAATCTTACAATGCAGTGAGCTGCTTTAAAAAGAAATAAATACAGGGTTTGCTAATACTAGCAGATTGGAGTTCTGAAGTGGAGTCCAGCTTAAATATAAGTTCTGCTGTTGAAGCCATGCAGAAAGCATGCAGTAATTCAAAGGACTTTACAGAAGCAGAAGTACCTTATCTGTTGTCAGGCTCAAACAAGGTATTGCTTCTGCTGTCTGTTGTTCCATGGGATGTTTTTCAGTGTCTGCCCTGATTTGCTGGCTTGACACAAGCTCAACAATTTCTGGACAATACTCTCAGACATATGGTCTGATTTTGGGTGGTGCTGTGTGGAGCAAAGCTCAGTGATCCTTGTGGGTCCCTTCCAAGTAAGGATAGTCCATGATTCTACAGATTGCCCTTCTGTTTGTAGAGAAAGCTGAACTGCTCAGGCAGAGGCAGTGCAAGCAAATCACTTATCTTCCAGTGCACTCACCTTTTATTTGTGCTATATGTACACTGCAATTAGAGGTGTAGTGGGGAGAGTTAGGGGTCACTGGATCAGAGGGGGAGTGAGGCGTTGTTAGTGCTTGTGAGTGTAAATATTTGTACTAAGAGTGTTTTAAACCAAACAAAAAAGTCCTGGGGAGAAGAGCAGTTCTAAATGCTTCAAACACGGGCAGTGTTGGGGGACAGAGATAACTTACGAGGTTGCTGTTATAGGAACAGACAGCGTAAACATACACTACAAAATAAATATAATACTGGTTTCTAAAGAGAGGTTGGACTTGTAAAGACGAGCAGAGTGTTTGAGCGGCTTTTCCAGCTCTCACGGTTTCCTGTAATGCGTACATCTCTGTGAAAGAAACAAAACAAAAATAATATTAATAACCCGAACGTAGTTCACACGTATCCCCAGGAGGAAGAATGATTTGGAAAGAGAAATGAAAAATACCTTACCTATCTGGGTTTGAACATAGTGGTCAGTAATGAAGTCCAAACGAAGTAAAGCATAATTTCCAGGCTGAGCCCTTACACCCTTCTGCAACTGCCCCTGGTTAATAGGCAAATCGATGAGAGCTCGCTGCGCTAAGTGCGCTGATGTCACAGGAGGTTTCTCAGGGCGAGCGTTTGCACTGCGTAGACATTGAGCCGCGTGTTGTGTTGTTGATTTCAGCAGGGGGGAGAGGACGCTGGCTTTTTTCATCCAGAGGGCCAGCCCCAGCGGCCTCAACAACCTCTGGAGCCGAAACAGCAGCCAGTGCGGAAGGTCACATTGACAAAGGGAATGCAACAGCAGCAGCACCAACAGCAGCAGGCACTGATCCGTTCAGCAGCTCCTCAAGGGGTCAAAAACATCCAGGGAATCCATCAACCTAAAAAGGTGATTTTTAGATGCATATTGCTGCTAGAAGTTGTACTGTTGAGCTGTGTTGCTATACTCATAACTAGCATTCTGTTTGTCAATTACTAGCACAGGGCTGCATGACCCAGGAGATGCATAATTGCATATAAAGCATTTAATCTACAGAGGCCCGTTTGTATCCAGCACAGACTGGTGATGCCTGCAAGTTGTTTTGTCTGATGGCTTTCTGGCCAGCACAGTAGTCCCCATGGGAAAGGCGTGTGTCTCATGATAGCTACTATAGGAACGGTATCCAACGTGCTTTCTGACTTAAAAAACAAGAGTTATTCTGAAGTGCTTAAGCTCTTATTCACTAGGGTACGCAACAATGGTTTCAGGATGCTCTTTGGTTGATTCTCAAAGGTGGTGTTGCTCAAAATAGTTGGTGAGCTCATAACGAGGTTTTCACACTCATCACTCACTGGGAGGAGGCAGGCAGATCATTCATGCTGCACTGGTGTGTACTTTCTGTTCGTTTTCAAGCTGAGATGCTCCCTGAAAATAACAGTGATTTGGGCTTCTATTTGTTGGTGTCGAACTGTAAACCATAACCTTCCTGCTTCGTGTAAGGATCAGATTTCCTTGCTGATGCAGAGAGGAAGAGTTGTTGACCTTTGATAGGCTTTCCAAGCATGAATCCTGCTCCAAAAGAGAAAGTGTTGAGTGTTAACTCAATGTTACGTGTTAATTGTTGAATGTTTGTTACTGTTTCTTTGTTAATTTTTCTCCCTCTAACCATTCAACCTTGAATTTACAAGAATGGTCGCATGTTTCCTGCTCTGGCAAATACTGTAGTTCCAGATCCTATGGGATTTGGGGGAAAAAGGAGCTTTAAAAAAAAAGTTGTTCGCTATACACAGGTACTCCATCCTGATAACAGACTAATGGTTGGTATAATAGAGACTGGAAGCTCTTGGGGCAGTTTGCTGGTCTCGTGTGTACGTGAAATTTATCTTTGGACTGAGATGAGAAAAGGAAGAATTATTGCTGTTTTTGTTGACTAGACGCAAAATGTGGGAGCAATCCTTAAATCTTACTGATGTACAGCATATGTATTTTGGTGTGGGACTCTTACTGTCTGGCTAATTATGCTAAAGCTGAGGCTTTCAGCCTTAGTATCTCTAACTCTCTGTCCCTCTAAATTAGGTTTGTATAAGGCATGGATGGATGTGTTAATATGTGACCTTTCAAATAAGCTAACAGCAACAAGCTGTTTTAAGTCGACGTGTACATGAATCAAGTTTTTAAGTAAATTGCTAACTTTCACATCGTCTGTCAACCGTAGTTAACAGAAACACTGGGTAAGTAAATCAAAATGCCGTTACTTTTGTTGTTGGCAGGTCATTATGCATGGGAGAGGCAGAGGAGTAGCAGGCCAGATGGGCCGAGGACGCTTGATGCCAAATAAACAGAACCTGCGAGTGGTGGAGTGCAAACCTCAGCCCTGTATTGTGTCAGTTGAAGGGCTTTCTTCATCAACTACTGATGTCCAACTGAAAAACCTGCTGATGTCAGTGGGACCCATTCAGGTAGGTCAACCTTGGTTTATAATTTTTGTGCCAAAAGTCTTTCATTCTGGAAAGCTCAATTAATTCCCTGACACTAAATACAATGTGTGTTTATTGGTAATTCGTGTTTGAAGGCACCCCCCCTCCACACACACACACACACACACAACACCTGATAGCAAAGACAAGCACATGATTATATTGCAGCTGAGGAGGTACAGTAGAATTTTGCTAACCGTCACACTCCTGCTGCAAAAGATTCTCCTTCATTTTGGAGTTGTTGTACTGCCTCCATTGTTTCTATATATAACATGAGCACATCCATTTTGTGGGGTTTTGTTAAAGCCAAATTATGTAAGAACAAATATTCTGTTGCTGTTGTTATTGTTGGCTTGCACCTACACTCTATGATTCGTCTTGTTGCAGTCCTAGGGTAACAGTATTTAATGAAGGCTACTCATTTCGGGTGTTACACCATGTAGCACTATCTGCTTTTTCAAATGAAAACACATTCTGGTTCGAAGGATTTTCTGTATTTATTTTTTGGAAGATTTCCCTTGAAGGGGGAGGGGTTTGTGAGCAAGGTTATGACATATGTATGAAGGTGTATCTTCTGCAAAGGTTCCTGAAGTATCACGTCAGTAAAACTGACTTTAAGCAAGACCATGAGGCTTTCAAAGCACTGAAGGGCTTATGAGGCCATTTCTGCCTTTTTGATACATTCAAAAATATCACTCAGTGGATAATGAAACATACAGACGATTACAATGTTTTTTTTTAACTCAAATTTTTCCATTTTGGGTGCTTGCTTTGACAGGATCAACATTTTCAGACAAATGCAATGCATTAATTGAAACTATTCAGTTGCTCAGAGACTTGTTTATGAATAAGATTATCTCTCTGCTGTAGAACACAGTGCTTTCCTAGAGATGTACGCTCTGTCTCACTTTTTCCCAATTTAGTAAATGGAATAAAGCTGAATTATTTATGTCGTCAATTCAGAGAGGTTTAATTTGTTTGTGAAGGCAAAAGTACTCTCACAAAGTACTTTGTCCCTTCATGTTCTGAAGTACTCGAGGAAATTATTCATACAGTTCCAAAACACGTTTAGTCAGTGTTTACTTGCTAAATCTTGCATGAGAATATTAGAAGGAGATTAATAGAAATCCTGCTAGGAAGCATTCAGAATTGAGAGAAGCAGTTGAGATGTACTGAGAAATGTTTTCAGTACTTGCTATATTTTTTTAGCAGACTGCAAATGGTGGTTTCTAAATGCAGTGTCACAGACCAGTTTAGGAGGATATGTTTATGGGAAATAAATTAAGTAATTTCCCAGTGGGATCTGATATATGTGTTTCTGTAACAGAACTTGTGTTCTTGCAGTCGTGTCAGCTGTACCTTTGGTAAGTTCTAAATCATCAACTTTCACCTCACTGTGTATATAGAAGTAGTACTTGAAAGAGGTGGCTGAATTAGCTAATGATTCTGGAGGCTGATAATTCTGCATTTCAAGTCAGACTTTGAGAAGTCCAGAAATTTTTCAACTTTTTTGAGACTTATTTTACAAGTGTGGATAGTGAGGTATACAGGGGAGAAGTGGTCCCTTTCTGCATCCTTATTCTTCTTTAGACACTAAAGTAATCATCCTGTGCAGTTGTTCCATGATTGTCTTAAATTTTCTTTCATCAGATGCTTCCAAGCATGAAGTATCAGTGCAAATTCCCAGTATTGCTTTATGAGGATCATAAATTTTGATGTCTTAAGAGCAATTAGTAGTGGAGTGGGGAGCTGCTGTTATGTATCAGAGGTGATTAGAATGCTGTGATTGTAGTTGCATTTTGAATGCTTTTACAACTATGTGTTTTACTCTGATAATGTATGTAGTTATTGCTTTTCTGGTCACAGAAAGGGAAAACATTTTCCTTGTTCATGTGCTTCTTTGCTTTCTTAGAGTGATAGTGCTACCTAGCGCTCAGTTAGAGGAAAGACAGGTGTCTGCACCAATGCTGTATGCAGAGCTAATTTTATCTTTAAGGGTAAAAGGCTTAGTAATGGAAATGACAAGCACATGTAGATGAGTGCGCCCAGAACATGAGTGCTCTTCCAGCATCAGCAGGGTTCTTCTCCATGTGACACAGCTCATGGGGTGCACAGCACTGCTCTGGTGACCTGTTTGTTCTTCATGCCTGTAAAAAAAAAAAAAAAAAAAGACAAAAATACATTTTCAGCTGTTGCTGCTGAGTCTCCATTGACTGTGGAAGAAGGCATGGTCAGTCCTGCCGTGTCCTTGGGCTGGGGGAGAAAAGAGCAACACCACAATGAGCCTGTCCAGTTCAGCTGTAGAGCAGTGTGTAGAGAAGCTCGTCTTCATCTTGACCATAGATCATCCCTGTTGCTCATCTCGTTATTGTGAGATTATTGTGCTGCTGTTATCATACAGCTTGTTTGAATACTATTTTTCTGAATACTGGAAAAGAATAGGTTTAAGAATAAAACGTGTGCAAAGGAGGAATTTGAGACCAGTGTGTAGGTCTGAAGGAATATCTGTAGATGAAATGGTCATTTTATAATGTTCATTCTTGAGTAACTGCTAACAGTTTAGTTGTAGATCATGTCAGTGCTTCTGATTCTTTAGAGTTGCTAAATTTTAACGTGTTTTTAAAAAAGCTGTAAGCAAGCTCTCAATCAAAAGCATTGAGTGTTCATGAAATTCTGGCTGTTTGCAACTATTTCATTTTCCATCCTACTCAAGATCTGTATCTTCCAGTGACAGTGTCTAAAGAAACAGAAAAAGGAGATAATCAAGATCAATATGAGCTGTGTGCTTCCAAAATCTTTTTCATAAAATACTCCTTCCTGGCCCTACGCGTTTTACTTTTTTAACACTGAGACTGTGTCAGGATGTAATTTCTCTTTTACTACACCAGAGCCAAATGAGAAAATACATAGAATGCCTCTGATCTCACCTTGATCTCAGGCTGGTCTGCAGTAAGAGCCACATAGTAGATCTGGATGCCCTAATCTGTAAACTAACAAGTCATTTGAAATCCCCTAGTAGTTATTGCATTGTCAATCCTTTACACCTGAGTGGATCCGGGCAGGGGTTTTCATTCTCTTATGTCTGACTGAGTCAACTTAAAGAGAAAATGTGAATTAAGTTGTTTTTTTCAGAGCTGTGATGGTTGGAAGGATTGTGATACTTCGTTTTAGGAACTGCTCGTAGAAAGAGGTTGTTGTGGAGTGCAATGTGACAAATCTGAAATCTCCTGTTGAGGAAATTTCAGTGTCCCTGCATTATATGGGCAGAGAAGTAACTCTTGGTAGAAGCAGTGCCTCTCCAAAGGCAGTGGTGTGTGGCTGGCCCTTCCCCAGCTTTCCCTGACTGACCTTTGGCACACTGCAAAATCAGCAGTTAATGAAATAATACTGAATTCAGACCAAGGGAAGCATGATGTACACTGGGAAATACAGACTCATGCTTTAACGTTGTAAGGGAGAACATAAGGGAGAGCTTTATTTTAGTGCTAGATATTTGAAAATATGTCAGTAGGAGCATATGAAGACCTGTTTAATGGTCCTAGATCCTTAGCCCACTGCAGCCTACTTGAGACATTTTTGGGAATGTCATGCTGTTGGACAGCTGGCACTTCTTCCAAATGAATGATATTTTTGCAGGGACTTGCAGTAGGACCAGTTGGCATCATTGGTTCAAATGATGTATAGAACCTTGTCTGAGCAATGTAGAACTTTGCAAATGTTGCCTGTATTAAGTATTGTCAAGTAGAAATATTTTCTTTGGGATGAAAAAATTTTGTGGTTCCCACTAGCTGTCAGCTGCTGGAGAATTATTTTTTATTATGATTTGTGTTTTTCTGCCCTTACATTGACAGTGGTTTCTCCAGCCTGCTGCCATTGCAGCTCTTTCACTTCAAGGCTGCTCCTATGGAAATTTGTAGGAGGAACGTCCACAGTTTAATGCTTTAGGCAGATCGTTGAGCAGCCATTGAGGCTGATAGCCCAAAAATTAGATTTAACCACTTCCTTTAAAATCATGTCGTTTCTGTTCATGAAATTAGCTATTAAATAGAAAAACTCTTCTCTGAACGTGGAGTAATTTCAACTGAAGGTCATTTTAGCTTCAAAAGCAAACAAGATCTATAGTTAAAAATGTACAAATCTTAGATTAGTTGATTTAGTTATCTATAGAATCATACATAATTCTCTTCAAGTTGCTGTAAAATCTTCTCCAGAATTAGATGAGCATTATGAAAAGAAATCATGAACATTTAAATCTCTTGTGATATGCAATATTCTGCTGGAAATATAAATTAGGTACTTTGTGGGAAGCAACAATCAGACTGAAAACAGATGAGCATCTGTTTTCATACTTGCTCCACAATGGCTAAGATTATACTTAATGTATTTACAAATAATAAATACTTATACAAGTTAGTTAATGAAATATCTTACACAGGAGTACCAGGAATTTTGGAAACTTCTAGAGCTTTCTTTACAAGTAATCTGGCTACAATACAGTGGGTGGTCTGTGTGGCGAACAGCTTTCCAGGAGGTTATTTCAAGATGACCTTGTAATGAATGTGTGAGCAGTCAGGCTATCCTGAAGATATGAATGCTGGAAATACTGACTTGATCACTGCAAGGAATGGCTGCCAAATTATTTCAGAAGGGTGACAAAAAACTGGCTTTTAAACTAATAAGGTAGTTTGATTAAGATATTCAGAATTAATTAATTTTGTATGTGTTTTCCTAGCATCTCGGAAAAACTTACAGAGTAAGTCTATAAAGGTAATGCCTTGAAAAAAACCCACCTTTGAGGTATAAAATTCTGCAGGTAACAGACTAAATCAGTTTCATCAGAATATTGCTGTTAGCATCACTTAAGTGCAAGATCTAAGCTAGGTATCATCCAGAATTCAAGGAGACAGACATCATCCACTAAGATGAATATGCAGCTATTTTATTTCAGGTTGCCACTGAAGTGGAACACTTGTTTGTATTCCCGGCCGATAGCCCATCTGTTCAGGCTCAGGATAGCAGCAGGTCAGGACCTACACACTCCAGCAAAATTGTACTGACTTGTTCTGTGCCTGACAATCAGCACTGTTGTTCCTTTAACCATGTAAGCGTAAAGTTCAGGCTTTAAGCTGCAACGTAAGGGAGTCTATGTTGTGTCAAAATGACAGCAGACCTTCTCAAGAGACTTCTGTGAGCAGGTATGAATGCAAGGTAAGATAGGTAATAATTTGTTTGAAAACACGATGTTGATCGTGTCCCGTGTTGAGATATTAAACGTTGTCAGCAAAGGTATTGTGCTGGTATTGCAAGCTATGGTGTTCATAGAGTCCAAGTAAATTAGCTTAGTAATTGTCTAATTTCTTCCTTGCTAAAACAAGATGAAAATTTTTTTTAATACCTTAACAAGACAAACACGAAGTTATTCTGCACCATTTTCTCTACTATAATTTGAGTCTCTTGAAGGCTGAGTATATTTATGAAAGCTGTTTGCTATTTGGATCTGGTAATTTAGATGTAGCTGTTTATGAAAGTAGATTTTTTTGGACAGCTCTTCCAATTGGAGGACGCGCGCCCATCTGTGCCACTGAGGTGGTTTGCATCTGGATGCATTAATCAGGTGAATGTGGGAAAATCATGATTGTTGGAGTTTACACTGGGGCTTTGAAATATAAAATACTGTCAGGGGAACTGAATGAAGGGGGAATTTGTAATGAAATGGTTGCTGCTTCCATTGAAAAATCATCTGAAAACATTTTTTAAAACTTAGCATTCTAGCCTGATAAGTGATATGAAGAGAATGTATATTAACTACAGCTCTGTAGATTATAAGGGACATCTGTAAAGAGGAAAATACAAACTTGAATGCTTCCTTCATCCACTCCAGCAAATAACTCATATGAGAACTGAGTTTTCCAAGTTCCTTTTTAGATGCTTTGTTGAGCTTGACAGTATTCACGTTGGTAAAAATGTACTTAGCTTTGTAATGAGCTTCCTGATTAAAAATCAGATCTGTTTAGTATTTTTTAAAGATGAATTCTATTCCTGCTAGCTTCAACCAACAAACTGCAGTGACTTAGCTGCACCTTTTCTCTTGTAGCAAGCTTTCCAAAAGGCATGCAGTGAAAATTAACCACCTGAACCTTACAGATTTGCTGAATCATATATCTGAGAAAAAAATATGATGACATTTTGTTTTTGCTATCAATAAGTCTAGCAAATAAAGAACATTGCCTTTTTACTTGATTGTTTAGTCTATGAGGCCTGATTTCTTTCAGGTTTTCTTTCTCACTCTTTTCTCAATCATTTCAAATTTGAAGCAGATAATTTCCTTGACTTTTCCTCTGCTTTCACTTCAAAACTGTAGGAAAGATGGAAGTATTAAACTTCTATGATTTTGTGGGGGAGTTTCCTTTTAATTACAAGGTGATGCAAGAACTGCCAAAGTTAATGACTTCAAAATCTACGGATAGATTAAGTTGCAGAAAGAGCCTAAAGCTGCATTGCCTGACCTGAAAATAGAGAAATACGACCATTGGATGCCACAGCTTTTGCTAAATGAGCATGCTATCAACTCGAGTCTTACATGTTCAAAAAGATTGTAAGTAGGCAATCTTAGTAGCACATTTCATCCTGGCATTTGACATCTGGCTTTAAAAAGCTGCATTAGATTGAATGAATAGGAAACACATTGGTTGGATTAAAAATCATTTCACAAAGACTTCTCAAAGTGTGGCACTCTTGATGAATGTATCAGAGTGGGGTTGATTATGGTTTCCCAAGGAACATCCCTTTATGTAAAGGTATTAAGGTATTTGTTACTTTTGTATGGCTATCTTCCATAGAAACTCAGGAGATTCTATGTTTGTATTATTACAAAGACCACAGGACTCTCTGGAGACACCTTTGCATTTCCTGCTGTGGTAGGAAGCGTGAACGTGAGTTCTGCTTCTAGGCTGAGGCTTGCTGTAGTTTTGGAGGCCTCAATACCACATCTGTTTTGTGTTGGAAAATGCTGCTTTCGCAGTATGGGAGGCATGCATCTTAGGAACTTTTTCAGGTAGCTGTGTGTGGTATGGTTCCTCACTACTGGGAGGAGTTGAAATTGGTGCCCTAAGCCATCTCATCACAAGGTTATTAGTGTCTGTCAAAAGCTCTACCTATTTGTATTGAAATAGTGTGAGGATATACAATCCAGAGATGAAAAACTGTGACTTTTTCCTACCATTTTTTTTCCTGTTTCGATCCAATAAAGCAGATCAAGTGAATGAATCCGGGTGCTTAGGTGTGAAGTTAAGCTCTGCTCAGTTTAATGCTTCTCATTCAGTTGAGGAAAGTTTGGCTGCGGGGTTTGGTTCATCAGTGTGGATCGGATCGAAGAGTTGTGGTCCTTGCTAAACAAGTGATTGAATTTTCCATTTGGCACAGTGGCTTAATTCATGACAAAGCTCAAACAGCTTCACCTGGGTCCTGACTGAATCTCAGAGGTCTGTTTCCATTTCATGGACAGCAATAAGAGGTTCTAAGAAAAGAAGAGTGACAATTTCAGTGGGTTCCATACAAGGTGTTTTTTTAAGTGAAATTCTTAGTGCTCATTAAAAACAGATTTTGATTTTTTTTCTTACAGAGTTTACAGATGCTTCCTCAACAACGGAAAGCCATAGCAAAATTTAAGGAGCCAGCACACGCTTTAGCATTTCAACAGAAATTCCACAGGTAAGTAATTAAGCACAGCTGGCTTTGGTTTGCTCACTCCCTTCAAAAGGTGACATTTGTTGCATCTGATCAATGTTTCTCTTAATCCATTCAAGCATCTGCTTGTTACTGACCGTTGTAGAACCTTCTTGTCTGATCTCTATGCCTAGAATAAGCTTGATTACCAGATCTAAATTTCTTTTAACAGGCACATGATAGATCTGTCCCACATAAACGTGGCACTGATAGTTGAGTGATGTCTGCTGAGAGAATTACTTACACTACCAGAAACATACAGTGGAGCGACACGGGACACAGTGACAAAACTATCAGGTTCTGAAACCTTTCAGCTTAGTCTTTTAAATGCCATGTTGAACTACAGAGAGCAGCAAGGTGTCCTCGAGAAGAGCTGAACTTGAGAGGATCTACAGAGGTGGAATTTCTGTTCGGTTTCTTCAGATTCTGTTGTAACCACATGGAGCTACAGTCTTGTTTTGTTTTTTTCCTCAAAAAGCTACAGTGCAGGTAGACACTGTTCTTCAAGATACTACTTTGTGACCACAGTGACTTTGAGATAGAACGTTTACACCGAAAGATGTACAAACTTTCTTCATAGCAAAGAATATTTGATAATGGTTGCTCTTATCTTCAGTGTGAGGTATTTGAATGAGAGCTCACTTTTCTAAACAAAACACATTAATTACGTTGTATATCCAAGAGCATAGAAGGTATTCTTGCATAGGTTTAAACGTGGTCTACTTCATTGAATAGAAGTATGCTGAGAAACTTTGGAGGTGACACTGGAAAACTGTAGTTTCTATCTTTGTAAATATGTTAAGTCTGTCTCTGCATTTTCTATTCCAATACAGACTTCCCATTTTCTCCTTCCAACTCCGCTTATTCCATAAAACACTGTGTAGGAAATAACATTGCTGTATTTTCCCTTGGTTTTTAAAAACAAGGATCTTTGCCATTCAGTAGCATCCTGGGGTAGTTAACTCCAAGTTGTAACTAAATTGTTTTTAATGATGTTGCCAGCTACAAGGAAAAAAGAAATATTTAGTGGCTCACCTAAAAAAACCCAAAAAGTTATACAGGAAGAGTGGTGTATTCCTAATAGTTCTTTTCGGCTAGTGTTTTGTAATTGCCTTATGCTTTATTTGGATTAGTTTTTTTTTTTTTCCTCTTGAGATTTACTTTGTGACTAATGCTGAACCATAAGAAACCCGTTAACTGAAAGGATTTGGTTTGATGTGTTGTTCCCAATGCATACGAGACTGTAAGGACATTGTGAATCTGCTGGTGAACGTGGCAGTTCACAACAGTACGTGCAAACGTTAAGGAGCTTATATTTTATTCAAAGCAAAACCCATGTTTCCTTTTGGTTAGAACCATTTAGATGGTATTGCCAAAGGAACCGTTTTTTTTCAGTTACTTCTGAATAAACTTCTTAAAATGTCATCTTTATATTGGATTGCAGTTTTTAATGAACATTTCCATAGTTTTTAGACTGTGAGCTTTTGCTTCACCCTTTATTTTAGGAATACTCTTGAGCATTCCACCTACTATTGAATGGGGGGACTTAAGCCTACAAAGTTTTGTTGTTTTGGTTTTTTATTTTTTTTTGTCATCTGAACGACCACAGAAGAGCACCATTGGTATGTAATTAAACGACTGTGAATGGGGTCCAAAACAGGAGAAGGATGAACTAAGCAAGTTTATAGTAGCATAGATACATATTTCTTAAGATCAAATGGTAACCAAAGTCACTAAGACCTAATTGGCTTTCTTACAGTTTTGATCCAAACTTTGAATTGAGTAAAAGTTGCTAAAATTAATGATTGAGTAATAAATATCACCTAGTCCTCTAGGTAAGAACTGCTTTTTGTTCACTGAAGTAACAGAGTAATGTGGTGCTTTTAATTGCACTGGTGAAAAAATGTGAAGAATACTGTTAGCCCAGTTACAACGCAGTGACGAGGCACAACAACATCAGAACAATATTCATACAGAAGCTAATTTTGTACCTGTTTGTGCAGTTCCCCTCTTGCATAACACTTAACGTTCAGCACAGTTACTCTGCATACAGTGCTGTTAGTGCTTCAGTTAGACCTAAGCCCAGGACAGAGTCACAGGTAGGAAGCAGGCGGTGGAAGCCAACTGAAGACCAATGCCAGGTGATTGCAGTGACCAGCCCTGCTAAGTGCTCTTTAGTTCCTCACTCCCATGAGCGCTGGGACCTTTGTGCTACTTCCTCAGGTTATGTAATTTTTATTTTTGTTTTTAAATAAATGTTTATATTTAAAACGAGTCATTAAACAGTTATTCACCCCACTGTTAAGACAGCAACTTCTCTGTACTGAGGAGCACGGAAAGACATCTAGGAATGGAGCATTAACAGCGTGTGTCTGGAAATCTGTGTTAGGTGCAAATGCCAGACAGGCCAGCAGCTGAGTTCAGCAGTAGGAACATCTGCAGTTGATCAGCTGTTCTGTCATAAGCAAATGTTGTTGGAGTTAGAGGGTTTCTTGGAGCTGAAGGGTATGGGTTTGATTCAAAAGTCAAAGAAGTTCGTAGAACTTTGTAAAGTTTGCTCCTGCTTTGGGTTTTGAATCGATCCCAGAGAGGCTGAGGTTCAGCCAACCCAAACAAGTGTTACGAATTTTTATTCAGTTGAGGTTTGTTTTTTTTTTTTAATGTTTTTAAACAATTACAAAAATGGGTGGCTTTGGAACAAAGACTTGAATTGCCTCAGATCTATTTAAACGTAGGAGGCGATGCTAACAATGCTTGTTTAATGACGAGGTGGGCTGTCTTTAAAGGTGGTTGCAGTTATTGCCTGTGCATAGACAGTGCGGGCAGATTGCTGGTGATTTTAACTGCTCACTGCAGTGGCTGAGTATCAGAACTATATGTAAACATCATGTATGTATGTCTATATGTATTTTATTATACACATACATACACACGCTCACCCTTATTGTCTCCACTTCTTTCCAGTATCTTAAACTCAGTAGCAAAAGTAGCGATTAGGCGAGTCTCTTGTTAAAATGTTTGTGTTTTGTTAGTTCTCAAATCCTTCCTTAACACTGATCTGTTGGCAAGTGAGCAGTTTGAACGATGCATCTCTTCTAGTTCTTTCTGTTGTGTCTCCTCCCAAAAAACCACCGAGGAAAGGTAAAGCTAGATGAACGTGTTATTTCCATGTTCTCTTTCAGCACATAGTTAAATCTGAACATCTTAAGTTAACTTTCTTGGAAGATCTGTTGCAACCATTATCTTGTTCTTTCTTGATCATGCATTCAAAATACAATGCAAAATGCAAACAAAGCGTTTAATGTAGTATGTAAATATTGAACTTTTGGAATTAAAATGTTACTCGAAGTGCTTACAGTCAACCACATCTTAGCTATGTTAGATTTTTGTGTTGTCTTATCTAAGTTTAATGGATATGGTTCCATAAATGTTGATGTGTTTTCGTGTATATCTTCAAATTTTTATAAAGATGCTAGTAAGTCAATACGTATACCCTGATCTGTGTATTATTTGTCCACCATTCTTATTAGAGTAGTTCTATATTGATTTTAGTAGGCGACTCCAGTAGGTCTTATATGGAGCCAACTCTTTTTTTATTGCTTTGTTTTCGTCTGTCACACTGTAGCACTGGCGAATAATTCACTTCATGGCTAATCATATTCTGCTTAGAATTGGCCTAAAAGATTGGCCATATGTTGTGGTATTTTAGTAGAATGTTATACATTTAAAAAAAAAAAAAAAAAAAAAGGGTTTAAAAAACAGCTCTATCTGTTAAGGGGAAATAGAATAAATAGAATACACTGTCAGACTGAGGCCTGGGCTTCTAGGTTTGTTTGGTTCTGCTGTACCAGTACAGACAGGTCTGCCTTGTAATTCTGTTCTCAAAGTTTGGGCTGTTCTTGTTTTACACATAATTCAAGTTGGTCGTGTAACACTTGTTTTCATCACAATGTTAGCAGCTGATTGTGGCACATACTGTATGGTGAAACCAACTGGAGTGTTTGAAGAGCTGGGTGTAATTGCTGCTAGGTGGGAGGAGGACAGATCTGTAGCATCTTCACAGCTAACAGAAACTGCCACGCTGATGGTTTTTCTCCAAGTAGTGATGGAGAGTAAATGTAGACAGGGTGATGGTTCTCAGCCCCCAAGAAAGCTCCTCTATGAGTTGATGTAAGAAGAGTAAATACTGGCACCCTGTGTGCAGAGTATCTTCAGATACAGAATTTAGTCCCCAATTTAATTCAAAGAATTCACTTCATATTCTCCTCCTCTTCCCTCCCCCCTCCTCCCCCCCCCCCCCAAAAAAGGCCATCTAACCACTATGATGTCAATAAGAGGAAGCATTTTAGTTCTTCAGTGTTTGGTCTTCCTCTGTAAGGGCTTAGATGAGGCTTGTTTGTTTGTTTTTTTAACAAAACTAGGTGAGAACATGTGCACCTTGAGGTCCTTCATAGTTTTTTTTTCCTTACATAATCTACCTCTTTGGCATGAGAAAAATCTTTTCACTTGGTGCAGAGAGTTTTTAAACGTAGGATATCACCTGGTTAGCTTTACATAGGGCAGTTACTGTATGCACTTCTGTAGTTGCATGAAGTAACTGTGTGTGTGTATGTGTGTGTGGTGTGATGCCCTTATACTTGGGCTGAGAGGGCGGAGGGAGGCTGGGGGTTTCATGTATTGGTTTTGCCTGTTTGACTTACTGGAGGGATTTCCTACATTTGTTTGTAGTATTGTGCTGTTCTGTCCTTCCCCTGCTATCGTGGTTGTTCCCTGGCTTGTGATGCCCAAAGGTAGAAAGCTGGCTTTGCGTGCTCACTGTCCAAGAGACGATTTTGTTCATGCAGACAAACCTTTTTGAAATCATTTTTTGTGCTTTTTGATTTTTAGCAGCGTGTTGGATGAGAAAAAAATGTGAAGGAAACAAATACTGAATGGATTGCAGGAAGTTAGCAGTATTATAAAGGGTAATGGGTCATTTAGGGTAAACGGGGCTTTTGTTTCAGTGCTACCTCAAATACTACTTCATTCATAACCATAGTACTGGAAGTATTTGGTCTTTAATTAGTATGAAATCCTAAGGATTTTTATGTAAGGGTTTTTTTTGTAACCCGCTTTTTTTTTTTTTTAACATGAAGCTGATTTATATCTACATGAGCAAAGGGCCTTGTGTACAAAACCTGATTCATATTGGATCCTTACGTATACCATCTTCCGGTATCATACGGTTGGGAAGGATCATTTTGTTCTTTGTAATGCTGCTTTTTTAGGGTTGGTTTTTATTTTTGTTGTTTAGTTTCTGGTTTTTAACTACAACACAGTGTCCTTTTTCTATTTCTGTGCTTGCTTTGGTGGAATGTATGGTCCCTGTTGCACTAAACAAAACCTCAAAGGGAAACCTAATCTCAGTGGGCCTTCTAGGTGCCTGTGTGGCTTTCTCACTTCTTGGTCAGACACGTTTTCCTGACTAACTGGAAATGGGCCTTGTATGCACACAGGTTTTCAACAGGTTTACATTCCTTTTCTCACGTAACAGCGCTCAGGTTAAGCCATTTTTTTTAACCCTCTGAATAATTTCAATCCGTGTTACAGATTAAGACTATTTGTGTACAGGAACCTGTGCACAGTTCAAAGCAGCTGTATTGCAAATGCTGTGCGTAGTTACTTGGAAGATCACAATTTGAACAGAGCGTTGCTGTATTAATGTTACATTCATTCCGTGGCTCAGAATTTTCTCTGCATACATCTGATGGTTTTTAACATGCCCTGTGTTTTTTCCTAGCGTCTGCCAGGCTGACTTTGGAACCTTAAGAGTTTTATTTCCATGCATATAATAATAAAAAGGAGGTTTTTTTTTGCAGGATTTCTTTTCCAGGCACTGACACTTTTCAACTGCTTCATTTTCTAATTAATGCACATTTTCACTTACAGATACACCAAAGACGAGATGCTAATGCTAATTTATTCACAGCTGATCTTCTCTGTCACCTAATATAATTTTTATTGATACAAGGTGCCCTTAGAATAAGTCAAACTTCTTTTCTCTTCAGGTGCTCTTTTCCTCTGCCCTGCGCCGTACCTCATTTCCGTCTCATTTGCCCCCATTTTTCCATTCCTGTGAGGCTATTTGTATCCTTGTTATGTTCTTGCTCTTCTGACTCCACATTCATCCCTCTCCCTCCAGACCTTCTCCCATCCAACTGCATAGCACTCAGTCATTTGCAGTATTCTGTTTTCTTCTCACCAGTGGCTCTTTTGATACCTGAAGCCTAAATCTCCACACAGAAGCATAGCAGCCTGTATTTTTCTTTGCAGGCTTGCTTACAGTACCTAAAGTTGAGGCCTCATTTGCAGGTGTCAGACCTTAGGAGATGCTGCCCATCCCACAGCTCTGGACAAATAACAATTTTGCTTTGCAGTTTTACTGATGTTGGAGAATTGCAGAGTTTTTATACATGCTCTAGCATTTATGCAAGCCAGGAGAAACAGGATTAACAACTCTTTCATCCTTTTTGCTTTTTCAGGAGTTCTGTTCTTGAATTCAGTGATAGTAATAGCACTTTTTTATTGTCACTTAGTAATACAAGCTCTGCCGACACAATTCTACCTCCTATTACTATTACTGAATGTGATCCTTCCTAACCTGTAAAGTCTGAAATGCTGTGTACATTTAGGTGTATTGAGAATCAGAGCGTGTCGCTCTAATCTGGATGGCAGTTTGTTGATTAGCAGTTCAGAATATAAATCCATCAGCCGACTGTATCATTCTGACTCCACCTGGGGTTCATCCGCCTCATGTTTTCTACAGCATCATCTGCACACTTTATTTCTTGAATGTAAAACTGAGCTATACCAAACCCTCCACTCGCATAAGAGATCTCTGTCATACTTATTTAAGTGAATGTAAAAGTGGCAACACAAAAATGATCTCGTGCAAGTTCTTATTGCCTGTAATTCCATGTTTAACGTGTCAACGTGCAAATATATTTACTGTACCTAACACTATGTGAATAAAACTTTATCTTCTTCATGTTTGCTTTGTTGTCTTTCGATGTCATAGAATGGCCTGGGTTGAAAAGGAGCACGATGCTCATCCACTTTCAACCCCCCTGCTATGTGCTGGGTTGCCAACCAGCAGACCAGGCTGCCCAGAGCCACATCCAGCCTGGCCTTGAATGCCTGCAGGGATGGGGCATCCACAGCCTCCTTGGGCAACCTGTTCCAGTGCCTCACCACCCTCTGTGTGAAAAACCTCCTCCTAGTTCAGCTACCTGAACTTCCACATTGCCAGAAAAAGCTATACATACCATATTGTTTTACTGTGTCAGCATCCCCCTGCCCCCACTTCTGCACCAGTGCTGTAGTATGGAGTTCTTCCAGAGCTGTGCAAATGTGTCCCAGATGAAGAAACAGCTGATGGTCCTGCATTTGGGCTTGTGGTTTTGTGAATCATTGAAAGGATCTTGAGGCTAATAAGGGTCTCATAGCATGAACATAGGAGAAACGCTTAAGCGTGTAAAACCTCCTCTACTGTTTTTAGCCATGCTGACGTGTCCAATAAAAGCCTTCTGCTTTCAGATATTGTTTATTTTTTATGACATAAAGGAGCTCCCAAGAAGCTCAATATGGTCACCATCAATTATATTGTGCACCACAGGGCACAACAGTTCACTTATAATAAACAGGAAGGATTAACGGCTGTACAGCACAGGCCAGAAAACAACCTTTCTACTTAAGAACACAGTTGGGATCAGGCATACCAGTCTGCATGACTTTTAGAGTTAAAATCTCCCACCAATGAACTTGTAATTTTTTCAGAAGCTGTATGCAGTACATATACAGCAGTGTGTGCCAAGGCTGGAAAGCCCTATGTTCAGCTTGAGGCTGATAAATGCAAAGTGGTAGAAGAAATCAATGGGGTTGAAAACTACTTATGGGAGGAATGGAAAGGGAGTGACCAAGGGAGGAACGAACAAGCCTCTAAAATCTAATGTTGGGATGCTGTGTGAAGTGCTGCAAAAAATTGGTCTTGATTGACCTTAATTAATTGGTAATGATTGAGGCTCGAGGAGTCGCAGTGTGCTCACCAAGCGTGGGAGATGCATGAGGGAGGGCTGACGTGAGGACGAGGAGGATTGGAACACTATACAGGAATTGGATGAGCTAGAGAATTAAAATACAGATGAGAGTCAAATCTTGTGGAGTGCGAGAGCGTCCACTCCACTATGAACAAGTACAGACTTCTGCTGTAAGCTGGGAGTCTTGGAGAAAGAAATAGAGAGCAGTGAGTTAATTGCAGATAGCTGACCAGCAGATCTGGTGAACCGTGAAGAAGGAAGAAAAGCCTTTTTAGGATCAGTGGATCAGGCAGTTCCAGAACTGAGACACTCCTCTGTATACATGTAATGTGAAGAATTAGTGCTGGACTTCAAAATACAAAGCAACCAAATAAACCCCCTGGGAACCCCCCAGTAAATATATATATATGTATTGTTTAATAGTTCAGCAATCAGAGATTTTTCACTTTTTTTGCTCTCCATGTTCTGCCTTTGAAATACCAGGGCCTTAGATACAGAAAACATCTTCATACAGGTACTTAGAATGGCTTGGGTTGGAAGGGACCCCAAGGATCGTCAAGTTCCAATCCCCTGCCATAGGCAGGGGCACCAACCTCCAGATCTGGTACTAAACCAGGTTGCCCTGAGTCCCATCCAACCTTGGGCTTGAACACCTCCAGGAACAGAGCATCTGCAGCCTCTGGGCAAGATCAGTTCAGTGAGAAGTGACTGATCACATGGCACCATGGCTACTTGGTTTTGAGTGTCAACTCTCCCATTCACGTTCATTGTTTCACAAAGATCACTGGGGAGTCATAGAATCATTAAGGTTGGAAAAGAGCCCTAAGATCATCTAGTCCAACTGCCAGCCCATTACCGCCGTGCCCACAAGCAGCAAGGTCTGCCTTCAGCTGGTAAGAAAGGGTAAAGGTACTAGCCTGGAAAAACCATTCTGCGGCAGTGTGACCTGCATTGGGAGTGAGCTGAGAGCTGACCATTTTCATGATCACTTCTCAAGATATCACTGATAAAAGGACTGTACTTCTATGAGAAGGATTTTAGCCCATCAGCAAAGGGTGGCCCAATGGGTTGGGTTTTCTAAACCAAATAGTAATTTCTTTGTAAATCTATCCTAAATGTTGCCACATGTTGTCCTCTATGCTAAGCGATGCCTCCCAGTTTCAATTCCTGCAACCTCTTCAGGCTCTGAGGTTTGCTAGAATGGGCTTGTTTTCATACAATTCTTTGAGCTGGAAGGGACCTTTGAAGGCCATCTGGTCCAACTCCTCTGCAATGAACAGGAACACCTACAGCCCCATCAGGTGCTCAGAGCCCCATCCAGCCTGACCTGGGGTATCTCCAGGGACAGGGCATCCACCACCTCTATGGGGAGCCTGTGCCAGTGCTTCACTACCATTGCCACAACAACTTCTTCCTGATAGCCAATTGAAGTCTCCTTTCTTTTAGTTTGCAACCATTTTCCCTTGTCTTGTCACAACAGTCTACTAAAGAGTCCATCCCCTTCTTTCTTACAGCCCCCTTTATTTTCATTCACAAGGTTCAGGAAAACCCACAGATAGCATCAAAGCACAGAAGATGCTCTTGTTCCCAGGTCTCCCCTGCACTGCTGTTAATCAGTGCACCCAGAGGGAGGATGCACTTCTCCCTTAATGGGGGCAAGGAGCAGGAGGAAGGCAATCAACTCTCATCAGCCAGCCCCTCAATCACTGCACTTCACACAGCTGGGGGTATACAACCTCATCTTCATCTGGAAATTTTAGTACCTTTTCTCTAAGCTGCCTCTGTTTTATGCCTTATTTTTTTTCCCCTCCCCCATAAATTTTTATGATTTTTTTTTTTTTTTTTTTTTTTAAGGTGAATTTATGAGCACAATGACAGAGAACTTGTGCGATGTGGAGCAGCTGAAAGGCTATCATGGTGGTAAATGAGGCTAAGTGGTGATACACCACCAGCTGGCCAGAGCTCAGTGATTGAGCCTAACTGACAAGAAATAATTACCTCCTCTCCAAGAGGTGAAATGGGCTCTCACACTGAGTGCTGCTGGTGGAGATGCTGTCCGGGGGGAAGGCAGCAGCATTTCCAACACCTTTTTGTGCTTTGAGCCATTGCAAGTATACTGTGCCGAGGTTCTCATGTAAGTGGGGATGTCCTACAGTGACTCAGCATGTTCTAACAGGGAACTGCTGCACACATCCCTGTCCTCCTCAACCCAAATAGTGGTGCAGGTGAGATCTCCTGCCTCTTGGGTCTCCAAACCCCACCTCTATGCTAAAACTAAAGTAGAAAACAGTAGAAAAGTCGAATAGGATGATATCAACAGTGTGTTACCTGCTGCAAAGTGCAGCCTGTCGATCTGCAAGTTTCACAAGCTGCCGTCCCATCCCCTTCTGCTTTGTGCAGGTGGTGGTATGGAGAACAACAAAATCATCTCCAGGATTTGCTGGGAAAGGTGCTGCTCCTCCTTCTTTGCTGGGGAAGAGGTAAGGAACCGCTAGGAGCTTCCACACACTCACATTTCCCTCTCTCCCAGTTCAATGAAATGGGGTGACTTATCCTGCAGAGGAATAACTGTTTTATCCAAAAATCACTCCTTATAATTACCCCCAAAGAAGGAAGCAAACGAACAACAACAAACAAACACACACATACACATACACACACACACACACACACACACACACACAAAATCCAGTGTATAAAAGTTTCCAATTCCACAAAATCAAACAATACTGAAAGGACTTCAGTCCTTCCATCTGCCACAAGTTCTGTGAGGCACATGGTCCAGGTCACCAGCTCTCCAGCAGCTCACGTTCTAAATGCCAGCTTCAGGTTCTAAAAATCCCTTTGAGAAGCAGAGGAAAAAGGTGATGGTGGCCAGAATGCCAGCATATAGCTGTACAATCAATGAATGTACAGGTGTTATAATTATGGAATATACCAGAGCGTTTGACTAAGCAGGTTACTATACAAAAGAGAATAGAGTGCTTACCTGCATCCTGGGCTCGCTGCAAAACTCCCCAGCAGAGATCTCCAGAAGAGATCCTTTCCCCCTGGCAATCAGCTCTTAAATGGGGTCTAGGAGAGGTGCAGCCAGGCTCCTCCCCTTCCTGCAGCACAGCTGAATTGCCTTCACCTGTGCTCCATGCCTGACTCAGTGCTCGCCTCAGGTGATCAATCAGAGGTTCAGGCTGTGATTCAGCAGTTCCCATATAACAGTCCTGGACAATGTTTAGAACCATAGAATCATTAAGGTTGGAAAAGACCTCTAAGGTCATCTAAAATTCCTAGCATTAAGGTTTCGTGGGTTCTCAGAAGCCTGGAGCTGGCAATGTAAGGATGGCAACCCAACCCATTGGCAATAAGCAGTGTTCAGTTAGGAGATGGTTGGTTTGGCCTCCTGAATGAAGGTCATAGAATTGTTTGAGTTGGAAAGGACCTCCAAAGGCCATCTACTCCAACCTCCTGCAGTGAACAAGGACACCTACAGCTCCATTAGGTGCTCAGAGCACCATTCAGCCTGACTTACAAGGATAGGGCACCCACCACCTCTCAGCAGCCTGTGTCAGTGCCTCACTGCCCTGATTGTAAAAACTTCTTCCTTAGATCCAGTCTAAATCTCACCTCTTTTAGTGTACAACCATTTCCTTTTCTCTTATCACCACAGACCCTGCTGAAGAGTCTGTCCCCTTCTTTCTTACAGCCCCCCTTTAAATACTGAAAAGCCTCTATCAGGCCCCCCCGAGCCTTCTCTTCTCCAGGCTGCACAGCTCCAGCTCTCTCAGCCTGTCCTCATAGCAGAGGTTCTCCATCCCTTGGATCATTTCTGTGGTCCTGCTCTGGATTTGCCCCAACAGGTCCGCATCTGTTCTGTACTGAGGACTCCACGTCTGGATGCAGCACACCAGGTGAGGTCTCACAGCACAGAGCAGAGGTGTAGGATCACCTCCCTCCA